TCCCAGCTTCCTACCAGCCCACATTTTCCAGTTTTTCACCCGAAAATTATCCGTCGAGCGGGGGTGAAGGTAAATAGCACATGAGAAACGAGAAAATTTCTCAGACTTTCCCCAACTTCCTACCTTTTGCTCCGGAACTTCTCGAGGATTTTCCTGCTTTTTTTCTTGAAGAATTTTGCTGTCGAGCGAGGAGAGGAGAGATGAGAGGGGAGGGGGAGTTCAAATCCCACACCGACCAAATACGACCCCTCCCCCTCCCTCCCGGCCAAGTCCGACCCCCCATGTGTCACAACGGAAGCTGTACCCTGTCCCAGCTTATCAGCGCCAGCGAACATTAGTGCGAGTGGGTTAGGTAAAGCAGGAATGATGCTCATCTAATGGATCAAGTCTCAAATTCGATTTCGATTTCAATAAATAAGAGTCGAAGACATGAGTATGAAAGCATTTTCGCAGGGAGATATATATGAAAATCTTGTTTATAATTCCTTGGTGATGATGTGCGTTTCAAAAGAGCCTTCAGAAGCTTCTTTCGCTGTTTGCTATGATAAATCCTAGCTCCCTTGCTACCAGTCTTTTTAATGGTTTTATCATCGCAGGTTTCTTTTGAGGGCGTTAGTCAGGCTTATCATCCTGCCTTGTATGTTGTTGTGCGACTTTCCTTGCAACCAGTAAGGTAGTAGAGAAGGAAGGAGCGCCAGTAGGGAGGACATGAAGGTGGTTACCGGCATCGCCCACTCCATCAACGCGCACTGTTTCTAATCGTACAGTTATGAGTCCCTAGGGCGTGTGACGGGGCGTGGATTTGGGCGCTCTCAAGGCAACCTCCCGGTGGCGCTATCCTGAGTCCGCAACTTCGAGCGGGGAGGACTCTTCTGGCTGCGATCCAACTCAAGCCCCGTTATACCCTATGGTTTTGTTTCGGAATAATGACTATATGTAGTGGTAAAGGGTTTAAATGGGGGCAGAACTGGTTTTGTAGAAGGGAATATAAAGAAAATGACCGCTCAAATTGGCTATGCTCTTGTGATGTAACTTTGGTGAATATTTATGCTTCCTTTGGTGTGTTTCCCCGGTTTCTTCGCCTTCATTCATACTTAAATGCGAGCTACTATTTACCACATTTGACACTCTGGCTGGTCCTGAAGGGCATCTGATGTGCTGTGAAGTGTTTTTGATGAAAACACTGAGACAAAACAAAGGTTTTTATCAGTGATAAGCGGCGTGTTCCGATTTCGTCGGTAGTGGTTAACACTCAGCTGACCTTCCAGACACCGCCAATCGATCTGACAATTGGTGCGCATTAGCTTGTTTCCGACGTTGTAATTGTGTTCTTTCTTCTAATTGGTGTCATTTCTTACATTATTACAGCGCTGGGGAATCAAGTAGCTAGGATGTTTTCAACTTTTTCCTGCTTGATTGCTAATATATAGGGCCCATTGCCGGCCATTTTTCCTGATTGCTAGTATATGGGTCCCATCGCCAGTCATTCATAGAATTTATTGATAATTTTATTCTTCTTTACGACAAGAATGCTGACTGGTATGTAAAGGGCTCGACCTCAGTCGGGACTACGACCCGGGCCTTTGGGATAGTTGTGTCATTCATTGCAAGGCTCACCATCCATTTTATGAAAAAGAAGTGGGGTCGTATCTGACCGCTAGAAAGAGGGGGTCGTAGTTTGCTGTAAAAGAAATTTTTTCTGATTACTGATATTTCCTCTTTCCAGCATGCTACATGCCTTTTCCCTTCTAGTTGGCGGCGCTGCGAAACTACTACCTAGCTAGTTGATGAGAAGTCGGTGTCTACTTGAATAAACACTCCTGCGACCCTTCTGCCCCCCCCCCCCGCAAAAGTTCTAGGAAAGGTTGGAAGATGGTAGGGAGCATGTGAAAGAGATCCGTCCTAGAGTAGAGATTTGTGAAAGAGCCGAATTTTGCAAAAACTCGCTGTACTTTGACCAGGGGCCTCGATTTATCAAATGTAGACCGGAGGCCACGTGCTGCTTCTCTACTTTTTAAGAGTCCCGTAGTTTTTCAGCGCTCTAATATCGCTTTCATTATATCGCTGTGCTCGCTAAGCAAGGGCGTTAAGAGAAGCTAGAAAGGCCAAATGTTGTAAAGCTGGGCTTCCAAAGGGCTTTTTGAGCCATTTTTTTAGTTTTCAGTCCAATGGAGTACCGATTGTCAAAAACTTCGCAGGAGAGCTTTCATAGTTGGAGCATTTCCTGAGTATAGGCCGAAAGCGTGGGAGTTGGTGCATACAACTGGTACTATTGACTACTACAGTAAGATAAGGCTGCCGAATGCATGACTAACCGGAAGTTAACACTGTCTCGGGAAGGCCGACATCTAGCTGGAGGATGGGCGTGGCGTAGAGAGGCGAACCACAAACGGCTCACTTTGCCCATTTCCGGGCAGTTTTGGGTCAACAAGTTCTAGCTTTCATTCGAGCAGGACCTTTCCAAAGGGGTCTCGTCTGTTGTATCGTTGAATTTTCTTTCTGAGTAGTTAATTCTCGGCCAGGCCGTCTTCTCTCTGTACCTCGAAGCTTAGGTTACTAGTGTGAACAATGGTACTACAGACCACCAGCCTCTAGCATTCACTTTCACTACCGTAAACTTCTACTTCTGGTACCGTAATCATATTCATATTAGTTCCACTAGTCTATCTATTACTTTACTGTAACATTAACTTTTAACGACCGAAAATAGCTCAAAAGGTCTGATGGAATTGTACTTTTCACAAACCTCTGGAGCCATTTCTTGTTCATGCCGAGTACCCGTTAATGTTACATAGAATACATCGTAGTATGTGGGAAGCAGGAAGTGGTCTTAGTAACGATGTGGGCGCCTCAATCACGTCGCGCGTCAGATCGCCGGTCGACTTCCCGCGGTCAACCAAGCCTTCCATCCTCCGGGGACGCTAACTTGGTACCAGGTTCGTCTGGAGGGTAATAACACTGACTTGTTCATCAGCTGGCCCCTGAAGTCATTGTAATAGCGCCTTTAATAAGGCTTTACAGATATCTGAATTTGGAACATAGAATGTGTGCCGCATCCACAAAGGGGTTGAATCAAAGCGAAGACTTATCCTTTTTTATGTAATGTCTGTGATTCTTATTGCGTGCTTACTCAGCGTTGACACCCGTCCGCTGCTTTTGCTTGGATTCCGCATCCCCTCTCATTAAGAGGAGGCATCTTCTGACGTCTTTTCGGTTTCAGTGACGTCCTTCTCGATGTCTCCTCCATCATTTCCTGCTTCTCGTGGTCGCCCTGGGCGCCACGAAGAAGCAGGAAATGCCATGGAGGAGACGATCGAGCGAAGGACGTCACTGCAGAGATGGTTCCCTTTCCTGCACCGGTTGCATTCCTGGTTTTCTGCTGCCCAGGGCGTCGGGGAATTTGCGCGAATTACGGACCCTTCCTCAAGAATCCCTCGTCCCTATCGCAGCCCTCATTCGCCCATCTAGCCTGCCATCCTAGTTCCAGCGCGAGACTTGTCCTAATTGCCTATCTATTTTTTTCCGCGATTTTTTTCGGTAAGGATCCTTACTTTTTTCATATCCGGCTGCCACCCAGTGGAAGGGAGAGTGAATAGGCGAATCCTCGCTTTCTTACTAGTTTATTAAGTAGAACTGAACGAACAAGGCCCCCCAAATTTTTTTCGAAGCAGCATTTCTATTCCAGCCACCGAATGAGGCTGTCTTCCAGGCCTTCTCCTTAGGAGGCACGTATGCGGTGCCGTAGGTGCTTAGCACATTGCCACCCCCCCGGCGACCCCGTGAAGCGAAAACTGAATCCTGTAGCGAGTACTGAGATCTTCTTCTAATCACTGAATGAATAGCGTCCTGATGGGAACTAATAACCTTCTCCAGTAATCGACCATTGTTCAGTTGTTGCCTTTGTGAAAGCATGCAGTTCGTGCTCTGAAACTGTCGGTTTTTATAATGTCTTCCCAGTCTTTTTTTTTTGAGAAACAGTATTAGAATACCCCTACGCTGCCAGTCATGTTTCCTTATTCTCTTCGACTTCCTTTTCCTGGATGTTTTCGAATTAGGCGTCCATGTCACGGTCAATTGCATATATTGCATTCTATGCTTCATTAATTATTGCCGCTTTTCCACTGTTCCACGGGCCACTTATATATCCCAGAGGACCCCTCCCCCCCAGCGTTCTCTGTATTCGTTAACTACACCACTTCCATATGTGTTGAAAAAAAGATCGAATGCCAATAATCGATCAGTGCTTTTGAATGCGCCACGGAACGATTTCTACTTTGTATTGTACGAAAAAGTTGCAATAACTTCACACGTGCGCGTTCAGCTCGTGCGGGAGCATTGGCCTCCCTATGGATCCCTGCTCATGCCCACCTGTGGAGCCCTGTAGACTCTTGTTAAGCGATGCAGTAGCATGGGCATTGTTGATCCTTGCAGTGTGGCTGGAAGTGGTGTTTCACCCTTTTTGAAACATCAGTGAAAGAATTCTCATGTTTTTTCTCAGTACTACCAAAGTTTTTTTTAGAATAGAGAGTAATGACTGACTTTAGAAATTATTGTATAGGCGAATGTGTCATCCAGCACTCTCCGCGATTCTGATTAGATTTCGTGTGCATGGTGAACACCATCGGTCCATCTATCTTGTCGCGGATATCCCGTCTCTGGCTGTTTTCGGCGTTCAGTTCAGCGAGGGGACATTTTTTTAATTTGTGGTATTTTTACTGCTTTACAAGTTGACAGGTGGTCTCTACAAGCTTTAGCTGGTATCAGCTGGCTTCACAAGATTTCTCAGATCTTCACTTGATGGCTCAACACGTCAATGTTAAGCAGCAAAAAAGCGCAATGCCCCCCAAGGCGTTGCCGAACTGCGCCTTGTTTTCGTTTTATTTACTGTGCAATGCGCTTGTTGATTCATACTACCTTTCTACTACGTAGCTCAATACTGCCGATAATCCGTCAATTGAAAATGACCATTTTTCAGAGACGACCGTGGCCGCTCCACCATTATGGTCATTGTGGAGCCCCAGTCTCTGCTTGAGCGGGCCGTGCTAACTCGTCCCATTCCAGAAAACGCTCGTAAACTCGCACATCTCGTCGAAGTGAATGAGCGGCGAATTGAAGTTGGGGTGAGCCTTTCCTTTTCGAAACCGACGAAGTATTGCTTGTGTTATCGATGGACCATTTGGGGCCTGAACTCCCTGTCCTTTGTGAAAAACTGTATCGGCCATGGGTCCCTAGAGGGCTTTGACGAGTGTCGCCCATTTGAACGTTGCATATGAGAAATCGCTCCCCGCGGGACAATCCATCTAAGCCATCAGACTGCGCAATGAATGACGGGCTTTTACTGCCAGCTATTCGCTGTGCCCCCGGAATCTGTATTAGGCAGAGTCTCTAAAATTTGAAGAGTCAATAAGTAAGGATTAGATCAAGTATATAGTCCATTTACACCCGATGAAGTCTCTTGAGTATCACCCTAAACCTCCATCACTTTCTCTCTAGCCCATCTAGCCCACAACCTTTTGGCCCTTCTTTTTCGTATTCACACAGTTTGAGTAGTCGGAATTCTCGTGCTGGTTCGATTCGTCTCGTGAGCTCTTAATAATATGCATATTTACCGTGAGACTGCGGCGGCGGTGAAGTTCTCGCTGAGAAACGCATTAGAGCGAAGGGGAGCGCCGCCATTCAAATGTAAATGGCCGGTCACCCACGGAATTTCCGCCGCTCGGATCACTAGTGTTTACGATTTAAAGTGCCGGCGCGATGGTGTTGAGCCTTTCGCGAATGTCCAGCGAATAGGGGCCATTTTGTAATTCCTAGAGGTACCTGTGGGATTTCCTTGAAATCTTTGGCGTTAATCGTACAAATGGGCAGGAAATTCTACCCTAGGCAAGACTCATTGGGACAGATGCTGCTTATATAATCACGGTCTGGCTCCACCCTTGGGCGTTGAGATCGACATCAAAACTGTTTCCACCGCAATAAGGGGATCTCCCACTTTGTAGTCTCAATTCCGCGCCGTCGCATAAATTCGCCAAGGCTGAATGCTCTTGCTAAACATTTTCCCCTGTTCAAATCACCTTCTCACACCCCTTCTGCGGGCGTTCTTTGTGTTCAGTGAGGCCGTGCTGCCTATCAACAGGATTATGTGTCCAGTAATGTGCCCTGCAAAAGCGGGGAGATCTGTGTATGAAAGAAAGGAAAAACACATGAAGAGAAAACCCTACGAAAAGAAAGCTGTGTACTTATGACCCCTGCGAAGGCACACAACCATGATCCCCGTGTGGAAATCATATTCCTCTCTAGGTTGAACACATTGGCATTTCTTAGGGCCTTCTGTCTAGGAACTAATCGTACCGCACTAATCGTACCGATTTCATTGGTTGGGGGCACATTGCGCAGTCAACGTATGGGCGGAGTCACTCGAACGTTGCACTCGGCTACTGAGACCCTGCTCCTCTTTACCTCTTCGGAAGGGAAAATTTATAAGAACTGCTTGTTTTACCAGTCTCGAGTTCGTCACTGTAGGTGGCGCTGGGCTTCCCGAGATAGCTGACCTTGGCGCGGCGGCCAGTCCTGTTCCGCACAATTGTGGAACTGGTGGGCGACCCCCTGGGAAAATGGCCTTTGCCGTTGCAGTTCGAGGGCCCAGCCTCAGGGAACAAAGACTGTACCCTGCGGTATTATAGTGCTCGTTGTCCGAGCAGTGTGCTTGTTAGACTGGGACAGCACACACTGTGGGGGGGAAAATTCTGCAAAACATAACTCCTCCCCCCCCCGTCATTTTGTTCTCCTGTACAACCCCTTGTGTTTAAACACAACGGTGGTGTGCCCTTTGCAGATGAGCAGATTCTTCTGTAACGTGGATGAACCACTCAAAGATCGGAAATCTATAGCTTCTACTTCATTCAACTTTTGATTATTCGGAATAAAGTGGCAAAGCTTTAGATTTCCCCAAGAAAATAATGCTCGGCTATCAGCTAGCACAGTTTCGAACACAGGAGGGATACAAGACGCAGCTCTTATTCATTTACTGAAGCCAATAGACATATAAAATTTGATAACAAAAGGTTTGAATGTGTAAAACAATGTTTTATATTTATTTATTTATTTTTCTTATTGGAATGTGTAGAAACAATTTTTATATGTCTATGGTTCAATAAATGAATCAAGAGCTGGTCTATTCCTTCCTGTTCCGTCTCTGTGATAGCCGAGCATTATTTTAGGGGCGAACCAAACATTGTTTCTACACATTCAGATAAGAAGTGAGACTCCGAGACAGCGCAATATTCCGATAAGAGTTTTCTATTTTTTCTTCAGGATCATAACGTATTCTACCGTGAAGCGTTGCCTCCAGACAGTCATTATGCCAAAGCGGTCATCGTGTTCCTTCACGGGCAATCCTATTCCTCTTCAACATGGACCGATCGAGGGTAAGAATTTCACTGTGCCATTTTGAAAACAGTGATCTGCATACTGTTAGCCATCTGTGTTGACCATCTGTCAGCTGCCAAACATTATTAACTGGCCCATAACTGGCCCATTTTTGAACTTTTTTTCAAAATATTTGTTACTTTCCGTTGAGAAAAAGCCCATAAAGTTGCAGGAACTTTACACTCGAGATTTTGAGTTCAAGTGCAAGTCAGATCACGGTTTAACTATCGTCCTCTTCAAGGGCTCCAATTCCCATTTAAGTTTTCTCAATGCAGAAATGTGGAATCATGATCAAAGCGTTTGGCTCTGTTGGAACTGCTACCCGCTCTCACTGTCTCTGAGCACCCAACTTTCTCATTACAGTGTTCAGAGCTCAGTACCTTTCTTCAGTTTCCTGGCCATCAGAACCATAGCCGCCTGGGATTTCCTTCACAACATTTTTTTATAATTTGCTGAGCACGTTCACCACTACTCTAGAACATACCTGATAAAAGTCTGCTTTTTAGATCTCTAAGCACATTTGCTGCTCTTGGATACCACTGTATAGCACCAGATTTACCAGGATCTGGACAGGTGTGTTTTACTTAGTATGTTTTTCCGAATATATGCCAAACTTACACGAACGTCTAAAAGACCTACGGCTGTCCTACAAGGGAATGGTTTTTGAAACTTTCCCCATGGACCTTGAATGGAGACTAGTTTAACGTCCGATAGAGCGCTCGAATGCCGATTACGAACATCGCAGATTAAAGTGCTATGAGGACTCCCAGACGAAGATTCTGGGCCGGTCAAAGTTTGGGTTCCCGGCTCACTGCTCGTAAAGCGCTGCTGATCGATGCCTCGGCAGTGCCACCGTGGCCTCGTGGTAATGGTCTCGCTTTCAAGTCAAACGCATTCGGGTTTGCATCCGGTTGGCGCGAAAATTTTTGCTTCGCTCCGTATAAGAGCTTCAACTCTAATTTTCGAAATTCTTCCGAATTTACGGCCCAGCAGGGCAAGTAGATCAAGTACATCAAGTATACGACGTACTCGATCTAGTATGGATTTGGTCATATCTGCCCTCTCTGAACATATTACCCATCCGACAATTCAAAGTTTTGCCCAGAATCGCAATTTGGCCAGACGAGCGTTTTTCGTCGAAGGAAGTGATATTCGTGTTCAGGGGGTCGAAATCTCCCATGAACGAATTTCTCGCTAAAACTTTGAATTGTCGGATGGGTAATATGTTCAGAGAGGGCAGATATGACCAAATCCATACTAGATCGAGTAGTCTTCGTATACTTGATGTACTGATCTACTTGCCCTGCTGGGCCGTAAATTCGGAAGAATTTCGAAAATTAGAGTTGAAGCTCTTATACGGAGCGAAGCAAAAATTTTCGCGCCAACCGGATGCAAACCCGCATGCGTTTGACTTGAAAAGCCAGACCATTACCAAAAGGCTACGGTGGCACTGCCGATTGCATCGATAGCCAGCAAGCGCTACGAGCCAGAACTCAACTTTGAACCACGCTAGTGATCTCGTCTGGGAGGTCCCCGTAGCACTTTTAATCTGCATATTCGTAATCAGCATTCGAGGCTCTATCGATGTACCTAGGTCTCCATTCAAAGTTCCATGGGAAGTTCAAACCATTCCCTTGTAAGATCAGTGTATTGGAGATATTATATTTTCCGCCATTTAATAATTTTCCCTGTTGGGCGCCTTTCCTTCTATAAAACGACGGATAGAAACGATGAGACAGTTCTGTTAGTGCGCCCTACTCCGCCATATGAGATCTTACTAGGGAAGGTCGTCAGGTCGAAGTGGCCATTTGTGATGAGATGTAGATCACTAGACGTGGTTTTGGACGCTGATCTTGAATCTGCCTTCAAAATTTGCAAAGCGATTCTCTGAACGGAGTTATGGAGCCGCGTTTACCACGCAACAGGTCATGGGATCGGATCCCTGCTGAGCTTAACTTTTTTGCTTGTTGCGCAAACGTGGCAAAAAGTGATTTTGCCGTCACTACTACTTCAGTTCTCACCTGAGCTTGTCTGAAGAAAAGTTTGCCTCCATTTATTACTGCGCTTGGACTTCTTGTAGACTACAGTGCAGTCTGCAGTGGCTTCTCAAGGAGTCCCAAGCGCAGTAATAAAATGTCAGGTAAACTTTTCTAGGCACTCAGGTGAGAACTGAAGTAGTAGTGACGGCAAAATCACTTTTTGCCACGTTTGCGCAACAAGCAAAAAAGTTAAGCTCAGCAGGGATCCGATCCCATGACCTGTTGCGTGGTAAACGCGGCTCCATAACTCCGTCAGAGAATCGCTTTGCAAATTTTGAAGGCAGATTCAAGATCAGCGTCCAAAACCACGTCTAGTGATCGACATCTCATCACAAATGGCCACTTCGACCTGACGACCTTCCATAGTCAGCATC